ATATATATATATATATATATATATATATATATGGTGGCAGTAACTTTGTAAATATTTCTTATAAAAACCTTCTTGTCAATTACCGCAGGAAGCGCATGTAGCTACCGTTAAGTGCGTGCGTTCGTGTGAAACTTAGGCTATACAGCTGGCTTAAAAGCACTGCTCACATACTTGTTATGTCGTTTGTAAGGATTTACTTTAGGATTGAGTTTGGTTGAACTGGGGGAAAGTTGGTGACGTTTTCTTTCTCTTGACGCTTTCTTTTGTTTAAAAGTGGGACATTTGTTTTATTTATTTTTTTAGTTTTGCTATTTTGGTTATCCTATTTTTTTTAAACGTAAAACAATGTTTAAGCATGGTGGAGGTCTGTCCTGTCAGATGAGACCTGAGTCACCTGACCCCCCTTCAAACACTTCAAAACAGGAAGGGCGGCTGGAAAATGATGAGATTCCCTTGAGCTGTAACTTACTATTGTACTGCACTGGCATTGTTCGGTACAGTGATCAAGTTGCCCGCTTTAACGCGATGCTATTGGCTATGTACGAAGAACTATCTACGAAGTTTGCAGAAATATCCACAACATTATCAAAAGCACGGAAATAAGAGCGCGCAGTTAATCTTTCGAGATGCAGTTTGCGTTCTTTTTTTAATTCAATGCCACGAGAACAAGTAGGCTATTAAATAATAATAACACTATTATTAGATGCCAGAGAGAGAAAAAAGATGCATACATTTTAATGCTTTTAAAACGTTTTCAGTGTTGTTGTTTTTTTTACAAAAGGTTTATGTATAAAGTATTTTAGGCTATGATCTGAGAAATTGTGTTTAACTCAATAACATCCCTGCTGAAAAACAATAGACACCATCACAACAATTGTAATGGCTCTACTGGTTATAATGGACTTGCATTGGTTTTAATGGAAACTTTAAGGGACCCTGTGGTTTATTCTGGTAATTGGTCACCTTCTATAGGTGGCTTGTTAAAGCCACTAAATCCTAATGGAATATGACCCAAAACACACTACAGAAAACCATTTTTTAATGCTAAAAAAAAAAGATGGTTTGTAATGTTTGTAATGGTATTTGTAGTGGAAACCATTAGAATGTCTGTGATTTCATTTTTTGTTTGTTTGTTTTCTTATTTTTATTTTTTTTTACTTTTTTTTTATCGGTGTAGAATTTCTATACTTCTGTGTGTTGACCTGATCGTCACTCTTTTGTGTGTTAAAA